CGGCCTAAACTTGTCAAGCCCTACCCCTCTTTTGTTAGCATTTCACACTGTCCTTTTCTTGCGTGCCTCGTCATGTATGGTTATATAATATTAGGTTGGTCCATAAGTCTTGCAACAAACTGGCTAAATTTTGAATTTAATATTTTCATTATCTTTTTGTTCCATTCATCCGCATGCTACACACCATCAATATCTACAACCTATTGCCAACGCACTAGAAGCTGTTCGATGCCTCTCTTGTAGAACTCCACTGAATTCTGATCGAAGAAAGATCAGATGTCGATTTTGACATCATGATGGTTAGGATGAGATTTCGGACGTGGTCTGGAGAGGGAAGCAGGTGGGCATCCCTTTGGCTCGAGGTCAGGCTATAAGGTGGATACGGAAGAACTCTCCGTCCGAGAGTCTCAAATTTTCCTGAATTTTCTTAGCAAGAGGTGGTTCAACGGTGTCATAAAAAAGCAAACTTTGCCTTGTTTTTCTTTCGTATTGAAAGCGTTGCATTCGAGCTGTGGACGGTTGACTTTCGCGTTGACTGCGACATCTACACGTAGGGTTTCCAGAGCTCAACTCCTCTCGTGTTCCACCAAAAATCCGAGAAGGCCCTACTTGGACGAGGTTGAACTTGAGCAGTAAGAACTCCCGAAGTGAGCTAAACTGTCGCCGCTTGTGTCTCAACAACGGAGTGGTTCCAAGAGAGAAACACTAATCTCCTGACTTGAATCCGATAGAGAACCTCTGGGGCATACTCGCACGGGACGTTTACGCCAACTGCAGACAGTTTGAGAACGAAAAACAGCTGAAAAACGCCGTCAAGGAGGCTTGAGAGCAGATATCGCCGGAAACGATTTCAAGGTTTGCCCAAAGCATGCCGAAGCGGATGATTCAAGTTATCGAAAGAAGAAGAAATGTTACTACTTTTTAATCATTATTGTTATTATTGATTTCATTAAGTATATCGTTCGGGAAGTTTGAACGCCGAAGTGTCCCTATACTTTTGGGACGCCATGATTTTAGAAAAAAAATTATAAAAATTCTACAAGACCTTCCTTTCCAATTTCTTTCATTTATACTCGATATCCGAAAGTTGGGGTAGGTGTGTCACCGGAAGTGACGTGCACTTGATAGAAGCTATGTGGATAAGCTGCTTCCAACATACATCGCTGGATATCAGCAAAGCATGCTGGCAACAGCTTATCCACGCAACTTCTATCAAGTGCACGTCACTTCCGGTGACACGCCTACCCCAACTTTCGGATATCGACTGTAGTAATAATGGTGGTGTAATAGTGGATTATTGGTAAAAATGTTGGATAGAAACCATTCACCCATTATAGAGACATCGAAGAAAAATAGGGTGTCCCTATACTTTTGGGACACACTGTATGACATTCATTCGAGGCGTTGAAGCTATCTAGCGCCTACTTTCTGCTCGTCTGCGCTCCAACCGAGAAAATGCGTTGAACAACGTTAATGCCAAAAACGAATGTCATATTCGTAATCAGGGCACCAAATAACCCCTATACAGAAGTTTACACCGATTTTGGTGAAAACAAGGGTCGTGACAAGGTGACGCCAACTGGCGCCAGATGGCGCCACCGCTAAAATGAATGTCGTTTTCGTAATCAGCATATCGAATTACCCCTATGGGCAAGTTACGGTTGTCTCTAGATGTACGCAAGTGCACTGCACCAGCGGAGGTGTTTTTACGTGTAATCGCCGCGGGCTTATACCGGAAATTAGGGTATTCAGACTGAATAACATCTCAGCGTTAAAATTGTCCAATCATTTTTCTGATGTAACGGGCGAGCAAGTAAATACATCGTCAGAGCGAGGTGCTGTTGTTCGGATGAGCCTTAGCGCGAATCTTTCTCGAGCATTGCTCCTGATACAAACCTCTTCATTCACAAGTTAAATTTGCCTTGAAGCGGGGTCTCATGAGATTAGGACATAAAAACATGGTTTACAAAACTGCCCAATTGTCCCTCTTTCAAAAAAATTTCTTGAAACATGTTGCAAGGATTTCACTTCTTCATAAAGATCGTCCCGTTAGTTCCGTTCTTTAGTGTGGTGTTTACCATGCAAAGTTTCACACTCACAACGTGCATAACTCCTCATTTTTCCACTTTTTGTTAGATCTCTCAGCGGCTGATTAAAAATTCAGAGACATTAGCCTTTCAAAATGAGGTACGCGAATTTTTGTGAGGATCACTCGTCTTCACATAAGAATATGCCGTTTGTTCCGTTTTTGTGCTACACGAGGTTGACACTTTTAAACGTTCATAACTTCCTATCATTGTTGACTTTGTGCAGATTTTCAAAGCCAGTTAGAAAATGGAAGATTGATCCCTCCGAGAAAATATGAAGATTTCTCTAAATGATCACCCTTTCAGAAAATCGTCCCTCCATTTTTCTCCCAATGGCTTATTTTAGACCACTCTCTCGAAAGCCGACTTTTGACGGCGGAGTTTCTTTAAAGTCCATACATTGAAAAGCGGTAGACCACTGAAATGAAAGATCAGTACTATATAGCATGTGCTTGATTACTGTACTTTCCTCTACTTTGATTTGTTCAAAAAACATGGGAGTTTCTGTGAACGAATTTTCCGCTTGTGCTCACTGGAACATGACGTATTTGGTAAGAAATCTCGCTCTGGAATGCGCCATTCAATCGTCTGTGGTGCGTAGTCGCAGTGGCAGTTGAAAGTCTGTCCTCCTTTGCCACTTAACCATGGCAGCTCTAAATTTTGTGAATTTGCTTCTACATATATGAGGTTACGACACCCTCCCCTTCCATTGGCCAAATACGACCCCCTCGCTTGTTCTTTGCGCACTGGGCGATTGAACGTGCTTGTAAGCCGATGCACCACAAAATTGACAAAAAGTGTTTGATTTCGTGCGCATCTTCACAGAAGTAAACAAAATAACTCCAAATTCCTGATCCGAACAACTCCAGCAAGTTTCAGTTAGCAGAATTACGTACGTAATTTTCGAGATTTTTTACAGCATTTCTCTCGCTGCTGCAGCACACATACTTCTTTCCCCAACAAAGTGCAGCTTTGTGCAAAAATCCCGTCCACAAAAATTTATTCAGATGGAAGTTGCGACAACCACTTTACATGCAGTTGTGTGATTAGGATCTGCTAAAGTGCATGATCATCAGCTATACATATGAGAAGTTCAGACCGTCGCATCCAAAATGTTTCTCGTCATTACACTTCTGATATTCTCCTTAGCTACTGTCAATAGCCTAGGAGGTGAGTATCGCTAATTGAATATTCGAGCATACATAACCCATCACACCAAACTCTTTTGCGCATGTCGGCAGATGTCCTTCAAAACAAGCAAAAAACACACTTTTTCAGGGTACCAAAAAAAGCTGCCTCCAAGGATGATGGAAACGTTCAAGTACTTCCATAGGATGCACAACAAGCGTATCGTTGGTATTTTCAATGGCTTGCTAGCTTTTTCTAACTGTGTAGACAGGACAACCAAAAACCTTCAAATGATCCTCTTATACTGAAATTAATACATAGGTATGGAGTGAGAAATTGGCAAGTCAGGCAGTGAATGAAGCAATCACAGGAGGAACTAAAGCGAAGCTGAAGCTCAGACTACCGAAGTTCATATATTAGCAGACCTTTGCATCGTGTCATCGCAAAAGCATCCTCCCTTTCAGACCATTCAAAACAGCGAAGGGCGGAAGACTGAAACTCCAAGATAAGATATTGAACGCCCTCACAAGTCTCTTCAATATGAATGGAAACTTAAACAATGTGAGTTGTCGTTACACCGCAACTATTCCTGACATTCTGAGAGATCTGAACTTCACCGCGAAACCAAAAAAGCGAAAATCCAGAATTATTCTCCTTTAGCCGTGATGATATCATATTTTGGAACTCGAGCCAATGCGCAAACAAAACGCATACCAAATATGAACTATCGATTGGTGACTAGTTTCGCGGTTTGTGATTTAACCCAAATAACGTGGTCTGCCCATTTTCATAGTGATATGCTCAAATGAAGTATTCTGCCTTGTACCACCAGTGGATAGTCCTTTGAATATCTATGAGAATCTTTTTCGATTCATATGATTGAACTGAGTTTTTTTAACACGTTGACGACAGCGTGACGCGGTAACGCGTCCCACTTTGCGCACCTCGTGGGACATTGTGACGCGGTAACGCGTCCCACCCAAGTCTCCCTTTTTCTTGCGCTTGTGCGACTTATTCCTAAGGTCTTTGTACTCATTCTATAGGTCCACACTTACTCTTTAGTTTGGCAGACGTTTTCCAGACCTTACGGATATGTCTGTTCAATTCATTCCTCGTTTTCTTTTCAATAACGTTGTGTTGATAAAAAGGAATAACAGAAGTGAATACAAACCTATTCGTATGGGAAGATATGTGTTTTTACTGAAACAACCACGTCCAAATTAATTTTGGAACCACTAAAGGGAATTTAAGTGTCATTTCGGTCAAACTTCCATTACTGTAACTCCCGATAAGCTAGACAGATCGAACATCATTGAAAACATTTCATCGCATCTAAGTATTGCGGATTTACAACTCAAAATCCATGGATTTGGTGTGCGGCGGCTGCGCTCGCAAAATCGCTCTTGTCCCACGCGGTGCAAAAGCACAAAACGCGCGATGTCGTCAACGTGTTAAAGAAACTTCTGAAGCTTCATCATGTGCTTCGGATTGCAGTAGGATGCGGACACAGACATCATAATAATTTTGAAAATCTGGAACTGGCTCTATATCAGTGAATAATTCAATAGAATTATTTCTTGCATCATTACAGTTTACTTAAAATTGCTTCTGTTTGCTATCTTGCAGCTTACTTTGTACTATATCTCATTTAGAAGGAGACCGAGGAAACATTCTCTTTCAGGTCACCGCTCTTCCCTTAGGTACATTCTACGGATGCGGCGGCTTTTACACCAAATTTGAAGAAATAATTCTTCTGCAAATTGCGTGTGTCTACAACTAGAACGAGCTTCTCATGGTTATTTAATAAATCGTTCTGGCAACTGAAAGACGGAATGAGATTCAAAAGTATAATAGTAATGTGTCGAAGTAAATTATATGTCGTCCCAGGATAGATAGACGCTGAAGTCGCTTGTTGAAAGCTCTACCATTGCCAAACATTTGCAGAGCTACGCAGATGGAGCTGATAGGAGAAAATAGCTCAAAGGAAATGATCGCCTTCTATGTAATTCAAAAAAGTTGTTTAACAACAAGCGTCAAATATCACCCAGGGCGCGCTGGCATGTCTATGCTATTCGAGAACAAAGGTATTTCGCTCAATATCACCAAAATTAGAGCTTTCGGTAAAGACCGTTTGCGAAGGCATCGAGAGTAGGCGTAAAGAAAAAGGTTGCCGACCGCAATATGAGCCTCTATCTTTGTTGCGCTCGAATGGCAGGAGTGGGATGTGTTCGAAGTGCAACAGCATTCATCAACACTAGTAAGTAGTAAGGCTCCACGAGTCATGTCTGCTGAAAATTTTTCCTCATGTCGTAAGCCTATTGCGAATCGTGTCAAAAACCTCTGAAAGGAGGGGGGAGAAGTAGAATGCACAACGGATAATTGATTTCGGACGCTATTAGCGAAGGGTTCCCCCTCACTTCGGCTTCAGTTTCAAGGCAGCTATGCCCAGCACCTTGGGCCCAGCAAGTTTAGGAAATACAGTAAGTGACGCCTACAGAATCTTCTCAAAGAAATCTCAACCAGTAGTTGTCAAATTGTGGTTAACAAAAAGTGCTTCAATACTACCATTGGCTCATGCCCTAGACCTCATCGGCGGGCTACGATGCAGATTTGATCCAGCTGAGTGATTCTGCTTTGGAGACGCGAGTGGATATCTGACAAATTTTGCTGTTCAAAAATGGCCGTTGCTGCCGCTTCAACAGGGCTCGTCTATTTATTATAATTATTTAAAAAAGAAAAAAATCATTCATTCCGGAAACCTAATCCTTCTATTTTATAAAGCGCTAACTTTGTGTGTCGGTTTGTATGTCTGTATGTGTGTGTATGTATGTATGTATGTGTGTCCGTCCGCAAAATGAAGTGAGTGAGAAGGAAGCTCATGGGATAAACAAACCGCTAACAAATCGGGTAGCTTACAGGATTTGAGATATCAATGTTTTGTAGCAGGATAGTTGTGATAACACTCTTAGGGCTATATAAACACCTGCTTAGCACACTTCCGTTCATTCCACATGGTGCTGCAGTGGCAGCTGGAGGGCAGTGGAGAGAGGAAGGGAGGATGAGGAAGGGAAGCGAAAAATCTACCGTCATATCATGATTGTGTCCCTTCTACTGTATGAAACACCATTGTGTTGCATACGCGTCACTTCCAGGAGGTGTTGGTGTCACAGGAGGAAGGGACCATAGCGGAGGATAGAAAGCTTGCGCAGGAAAGGAAGGTCCCGGCGGTTGACGGGGGACTAATCTGGTATTGAAAAAGGAAAACTCGTCCAATCCGGGAAACATGGAATCATCAGAGAAGATAAGGCGCTTGGTGGATTAGAACGTAAGTCTCAACCTTGAACCGCATTAAGGCCTCACCACCTGGTCAGTAGAAAAGGTCTTTTTCCATATACTCCATTCCGTTCCTTATTTTTTTTCCATTCCTCCATCAGCCATCACCTCTGCCTTGATTTTTAGTAAGCTCTCGTTCCATCGGAGACTTCGTTATAACTCATCGTCAGCACCATACAACAGTTTGATTCTGGTTTTTATCCATCGCATGCGATGCGGTATTCCGTCCAGACCGGTATCAGACATTAAACAATTCGCGGGTTCGCTAAAGAATCGCGGTGTACGAGCGATGCACCTGCAGTTTGAGCGACGTGCCAGCGGATCCATCTAGCAACCAGCGGATCGAAATGTACTTCAAGCAATGAACCAGCGACTCAACACAATTTGGAAGTTGAGGGAGTACTTCTCGTTTGAACGTTGACTCTGGGCTCACGTGGTTATGAGAGAGCAAGACGGCATGAAAACTCGGGAAAGTGGCGAGAGTCAGAACGAGAGCGATCTCGCCACATTCAAACACTGCCGAGTCGATGGTACATCTTTCGAGCAGCTGGTACATTGTTCGAACTATAGGTACATAGCTGGATCTGCCGGCACATGGTTAAAACCGCTGCGGCATCGTTCCTACCTCGCGATTTGCTAACGAATTCATCGATTCGCAAAGTCTGATACCGGCCTACCAGTCGAAAGCATTAGATGCGATCATTCCGGTCCATCAACTCCACAATGGAACATTACAACATCTATCCAATAGCGAAAGGGACAGATACAGTAGCGGCGTCGATTTCAATGGTAGCTCTGTGAGGTTCAGCTGGAAATGAACGTTCCTTCAAGTATGCGGTCCACAGAAGCCAAGCGATTGAGGCAGCACAACAAGTCGAAAAATGTAGGCAGTTCAAACATATCTCTCGTGAAACTCCATATTTGACATGAACTGTCCAGCCAGATGGCCTAATGTCGGCTCCAGCAGAAGTCGAATATTATGATCCGCCCGCGTTGATAATATTAGGTTGTCCCATAATTAGTGAATCACTTTTGGTATTTTTGAATTCAAATTTTTTTCTTTTTTATGTGGAGTCTTTGCTCATCCAAACATACATCCTCTGTCATCTACAATGTA